CGTACCCTGATCGGCTTTTTCTAGTTTCATATATTTTTCATATATTAAAACTATATCGATACCAACGAACTCACAGCACGCCTCAATTTCCCATTGATGTTTTTCAGTCGATGACCTTCGTCACATACTAAGATATCAAATCGAACTGCTGCCAGTTTCTCTATGTATCTTAACCACTATTATGTCGAATTCCGTAGGAAAAAAAATTTGCACGAAAACAGCTGTCTCACAACAAGGAAAACTGTACCTTAAAGCCATTTCATAGCTAATTATGAGGTAAGGATAAACGGAGATCGAACTGCCATAGGTGGTAATATCGGAAGCTCGCTCGACAGTGATAATCTGTAAAGCGAACGGTTTCTAAAAAATCAGAGCGCTATGGAAAGGAAAAAAAAATCTGTGTATTGATGTCTTCGAACGATCAATGGTGATAGGAGTGATGGTGAGGCTCAGGATCGAAAAATATTTACAGGAGATCTGCACATTTGGAACCATTTGCGGAACTCGCACTTCCAGTTGTTGACGAGGGAAGATGGCACCACTACAAGACATTTCTTTGCCGCATTCCCAGTTGAACTCTGTAAAATGAGCAAACATTGCGAGATCGGTATTTGAATTTGAGTAGTCAAATTTTAGAATAATCCTGAAGTCTTGAATTGAATCGACATAATAAGAACCCCCTCCCTAAATAACGCACTACAGCTGGAGAATGACGTGGCTCGCAATGAAGCTTGCACAACTTTCAGCTGTTTTTTCTCATCTTGTTGTTCTCTGTGAAGCTTAACAAAAAAGGATAGAGATCTCGCCGTTATTCAATCTTTTCAGGGGAGCGGCACTTATTCTTCTTCTATTCAGTATCGTGGGGCATACTGAATGCGATACAATCTGTACAATGACTGACTGGGGAGCCAGCCGATGTACAAGCCAAAGTGTGTGTAACCCCTCAGACGAATCTGGCACCGATTCACCGTCGCCGGAGGGCAGAAAGCTAGGTTGCGTCGGACGGAAACCACCACGGGATCTCATCGTCAGACTGCGCGCGTGATTAGTGGGCCGTTTGCCACTGGACCACCTCAGCCTTTGTGATGTTTACGGTGTTTTTTGTCCGACGTACGGTTTTTTTTCTGCTGCAGCATTACTCATTAGACTCCTTTCAATACATCCAGGGAATAATCAGGTCTTATCGTTATCTGGGTAACCTTCAACACTGGAGAGCTTCCCGTGATGTGCTCTGATATGTACTGACAGATACATATGCTTTTTTAGCCCTGCCACTGATGCTCATTGTTTAACCCCAGTACTTTAGCAAAAGTATTGGCACTGCACCCCAAGAATTTACTTTTCTCAGTGAAACCATTTTCTGACGAAGCCAGGACGGAAAACGCTCCGATGGAAGTATGAGCTTCCAACGGCGAAGCATGGGTCCGGTCATGCCCTGAGATACGTTCCCCGAGAAAAAGTAGTACCGTTTAGCGAGTTCAGGGTGACATCAATGCGGGCATGTTCAGTAAAATCCTCTGGACTTATGCACATTCTATGTACACGGTTTTTTCTCATCCTCTCACAGCAGTGTGTTCCATCAGGGCAGGTAGTCTCATGAATTCATGAAATACTTCCAGAATTGACATAACTCTGATTGTCAGTTTCCGAAAACTTCCATGCAAAGTATATAATTAGCAAAATTAGCCATGCAAAGTATATAATTATATAATTAGCGTTTTTCTGAGTTGCAGTGGAATTCATCTCTCTCTCTAACGTTGACTGTGGCCGGGTGACTCCTCAAGACCAACACGCTTTTTGTGCCTGTCTTCTTTACAAGGATCTCCGAGTAGGAAACTTGTTAAACCCAATCGGGTTTTCTCAAAAACAGAAAAATGAGTTTTGACGCGAACTCATCGGGCAACTTGATCTCGTACGCCCTGAAAAAAAGGAAAACAAACCAACTTTAGGCTGTTTCAAAAGGGCCATTGTTGCCACAATCGCTTGAATGCTCTTTCCAAGTCCCATTTCATCAGCCAAAATGACGCCCTTTTCTTCCTACAAAGAGAAATTTTGATTGCAGTGAGGAGCACTACAGGGAGTGAATGGGCTTTACAGAAAGACACAACTTACTCGAAGATGGGAATATATGAACTGCACTCCCTCCTTCTGATGATCTCTTAGATGCCTGCTTATGACGGACTCTGCAACTACCGGCTCTTCTCCATTCTCTCTCACTCCGGTCTTCATTTATAATAAAAGGCGGCACCTTAATACACAGTGTTCTTGTTTTCAAGGGAAACACCACAATATGAACCTTTTTCTTACAGTGTTCAACAGCTGCTCATGCTTCCTCCAGTGGCATGCCCCAAAGTGAGCGCTTGACAAAAAGAAAAGTTATAATTCGCTTGAATACGGTCTAGAGGCCGGGAAAAAAGAAGGTAACGGTGAGCAATGTGTGAACGTATGTAACGATCCAAACGCATGCGGAATGGGCGGGTACGTCAGATGCCATCCGTAAAGGTGTGAGTGATCCGTTGAGCCAGTACTTTTCGATAGCCCAGAGCTTAGAGGCGGATAACAACTGTCAGTTGGTACACCGAGTCTTGTCGCAAGACTGCGGGTGGCAGCTTCGGATCCTCTTTGACAGCTTCGAGAACGGTGGAGTCTTCCACATCGTGGGGGCGTCCCGACAGTAGCTTACCTTCGAAAATTGTCTCTTTTCGTGAGGCGAGCGAACTGGAGAACAGACCTGATGGTAACGGTATCCTCCCACGATGCACTGTTGATGTTGCGGACAGCTGCCGTCGCTCCAGTGCCGCGGCGCCACTCATAGAAGATGATGACTCGAAGCTGCTCCTGTGAAACTGACATCGTAATTAAACCCAGGGAAGACCAGGCGCCTCTGTGTACCTCTTGCGGGAAAACTTCGAGAGTGTTATACAAGCAGAGCATTTACCTCATGTTCAGACATCAAGAATCAAAAGCTGTAAGCTAATCCAGAAACCCTGACAGGATTTTCTTTTCAGCCTAACATGTCTCTCTCACACAGTCGTAAACCCCTTGATACCCATAATCCACTTTTCCCGATATTTGGGCTGCTCTGGAGCCGAATCATAATTTTTGAGTAGTTGCCTTCAGCTTTTGGTGGGTGTTTCTGCCTATGAGCTGTACTGGAAACCCGAGCAGGTCTTGGCACACTTCGGATACACCCTTCTCAGAAAATATGAACAAGCAAAAGTGGATTATGACTGCAAGAATGGAACATGTTCCGGGAAATCATACTAATTTCCTCTTCGCCGAGGTTTTCTGGGAAGCAGAGATGCACTCGAAAACGAATGCAGCCAGTTCAGATAGCAAACTCCAAATGAGCCCAAGAAACTAGAAATCTGAAGAAAAGAACAACGACCATGGGCAGAGTGATGAGTATTGCACTAAACACGGACGCTGATGGGCAATGCATCTTCTTAATTCTTCATATTTTCGAATCACCTACCTCAACAGTGCTAGCTGTTGCCAGAGGACACTTGAATTTTTTGCGGAATGTGTTAGTGGAGGCGTCGATACCCTTTCCAGGATTTTCCCTCAGTCGGTGGCGAGGAAGTCAACGAACGTTTGCTGGAAGTTCTTTGCGGCAGAATCTGCGGCACAATCGGCTGTACTGGAGGTAGTTGATCTAAAATGAAAAATGTACTAGTGCACACCGATAACCTCATATTTGACGATGGACTTACTATTTGAGCTCTGTTTACTGTTTTGTGTTCTGATTCGCTCTTGGATTTGTATTTCCCAAGAACCCATCTTCAGTTCCTTCCCTTCTTCCAGGTCATCAATACGTTTGATCGTAGTAGATCTACAACTATTGGAAGACAACGGCGTTGAGCATTGTCCTAATAAAAAATCGACTAGATCCCCACTGGATTATAAACCAAACCAGTCGGATCGCCCGGCTGACGCCGAGCTCTCCTCCTTCTTTTTAGCTCGGCTTCGCCGAGCTGGCCTGGCTTCGCCAGGCGCACATCATAACGGGATGGAATTAGTTAATTGCATGAGCTGCTCATATTGCGCGGTAGTGGTCGAATCATAATAGACAGAGTAACCTAGCGAAATCTGCACCCCTCAGAGTTGCGGAAGGCGTGTGGTTTCGGCCATAACGCCCATTCTATACGTAGATCTCAGAAATAGATAGTACAGAATATCAATATGTGTTGCACAGTAGATGAACAAATTCCGTTTTTATTACCTGCATCACAACACCAACGATGGGCGATTGACTTGTCATTAACATGCAATCCACCTGCTATGGTTGCATGAATGGCTGCAGATGACAATATGTTCATTGAATATCTTACAAACTACTTCGTTATACGTTCTCATCAGTGTTTAAAGTTGAAAAGCAAAAAAAAAATATTTGAATACTCACTGAACGCATAAAGTGTGTTCCAATATTGGAGTTTTTGATTTTCCA